GGCCCCCCTGCCAATGCAGGGGACATGGGTTCGTATCCCAGTCTGGGAAGATCCCACACGCTGCGGAGTGGCTGGGCCCGTGAGCATGGCCACTGAGCCTGCGCGTCCGGAGCCTGTGCTCCGCAACGGCAGAGGCCACAACAGGGAGAGGCCCGCGGACCGCAAAAAAACAAACAAACAACTGATCAGAGACCTGGACTCTGATTATATAATTTTAAATCCTATGTTTAATTTAGGGGAAAGCAATTAAGACTTCACAGAGCAGGTGACGTTTGTGACAGGCTTATATGGATAAGTTCTTTGGTTAGCCACAGACTGAGAATTTGAAAATGTTGATAAAATTAACAAGTTCCTAGAAAAATAAAACTTAATGCTGATTCAAGAAAGATGAAAGCTTGGGACTTCTCTGGTGGTCCAGTGGTACAGAATCCGCCTTACAATGCAGAGGATGCGGGTTTGATCCCTGGTCAGGGAACTAAGATCCCACATGCTGCGGGGCAACTAAGCCTCTGTGCCACAACTACTGAGCTTGCGCGCCTCAACTAGAGCCCACATGCCGCAAACTACCGAGCCCACGCGCTCTGGAACCCGCGTGCCACAACTAGAGAGAAGCCCGTGCGCCGCAACGAAAGATCCCACCTGCCACAACCAAGACCCGACGCAACCAAAAATAAATGAAATAAACAAAGAGATCTAAAAAAAAAAAAATGAAAGCTCAAATAATTCTGTAACATAGTAGTTAAAAATATAACCACAAAACACCATGCCAGAATTTGCAGTCGACAAGACACTCAAGGAAATGAGCGTCTCAATAAAATAAAATAAAATTAAAAAATATAAAGTATAAAAAATAAATACTCCCTCCCTACCTCATCCCATAAAGCCAGTATAACCCTGATACTAAAACCATGCAAGGACAGTACATGAGGAAACTTAATAATTGATTTCACTCATAGAGATAAATCATTTAAAATTTTAGTAAAGGGCTTCTCTGGTTAAGACCCCGCCTGCCAATGCAGGGGACATGGGTTCGAGCCCTGGTCCAGGAAGATCCCACATGCCACAGAGCAACTAAGCCCCTGCGCCACAACTACTAAGCCTGCGCTCCAGAGCCCACGAGCCACAACTACTGAGCCCATGTGCCACAACTACTGAAGCCCATGCACCTACAGCCCGTGCTCCACAACAAGAGAAGCCACCGCAATGAGAAGACCGCGCACCAAAACGAAGAGTAGCCCCTGCTCGCCGCAAATAGAGATAGCCCATGCAAGCAACAAAGACCCAATGCAAGCAAAAATAAATAATAATTTAAAAAATAATAAAATTTTACTAAAGCCAACAGTATATAAAAAATGTATTATATTCCAATAAAAGTTTTGCATTTTTTTAAAGACTATACCATGACTAAATTGAGTTTATCCTAGAAATGTAAAGATGGTTTACTATTAGAAAATCTATATAGGGAATTCCCTGGCAGTCCAGTGGTTAGAACTCAGCGCTTTCACTGCCGGGGCCGGGGTTCATTCCCTGGTTGGGGAACTAAGATCCCACAAGCTGTGTGACGCAGACAAAAAAAACAAAACAAAACACTATGTATACAATTAATCACATTAACAGATAAAGGCAGGAAAACCTCAGGATCAATTCAAAAGATACAGAAAGAGCATCTGATAAAAGTTAACATACAGTAATAATAAAACTAACAATATAATTTCCTTAACCTGAGGAAGGTATCTTATCTATAAACACAGAAAGTAAACATCAGCCTAAATAGGAAAGGTTACTGTTAACCCTTTTTTTAAAATTGGAAATGAGACAAGGATGCCCATTATCATCATATGTAAAATGATATTAGTGATCCTAACAATAAAAATAATAAAAAGAAATTAAAGGCATTAGGTTTGGGAATTCCCTGGTGGCCCAGTGGTTAGGACTCCGCACTTTCACTGTCAAGGGCCCAGGTTCGATCCCTGGTCAGGGAACGAAGATCCCACAAGCCGTGTGGTGGGGCCCCCCCCCCCCCCCGCAAAAAAAGAGAGAATTCAAAAAAGTAAAGGCGGGCTTCCCTGGTGGCACAGTGGTTGAGAGACCGCCTGCGGAGGCAGGGGACACAGGTTCGTGCTCTGGACCAGGAAGATCCCACATGCCGCGGAGCGACTAGGCCCGTGAGCCATGGCCGCTGAGCCCGCATGTTCAGAGCCTGTGCTCCACAACGGGAGAGGCCACAACAGTGAGAGGCCCGCGTACCACAAAAATAAATAAATTAAATAAATAAATAAATAAATAAAAATAAAGGCATAAGGTTTAAAAAAGACAAAGCTGTCATTATTTGCACGATATGATCTACCTTAAAAACCCAGAATAATCCACAGTTAAAAATGATAGTTTAATAAAGTAGCTGAATCAATACACAAGTCAATTGTGTTTCTATACACCAGTAAGAAATTAATACCATGAAAAGAAGACACCATTACAACAGTATCAAAAATAGCAGGAGGGCTTCCCTGGTGGCGTAGTGGTTGAAAGTCCGCCTGCCGATGCAGGGGATGCGGGTTCGTGCCCTGGTCCGGGAAGATCCCACGTGCCGCGTAGCGGCTGGGCCTGTGAGCCATGGCCGCTGAGCCTGCGCATCCGGAGCCTGTGCTCCGTAACGGGAGATGCCACGGCAGTGAGAGGCCCGCGTACCGCAAAAAAAAGAAAAAAAAGAAAACATAATTTGACAACTTTATTTTCTGAGATTACCAAAAAAATATTAGAACTTGAGTGTTGCACACAGCACATAATACATACTCAATAAGTATCAGCTAAATAAAGCAACAGAGGCCAAAATAATAGGGAAAGTCAATCAATTTAAAAAGGGTATTGTTATTTGTAGGTTCTCTTCAGGGAAAATTATGAAAGGATCCTGAAAGACAGTAAAAGACCTAAAAAAATGGAGAGAGATGACAGGTTCTTAGAGAAGAAAGACTTTCTAACTACAAATGGGAGCTTTTACAGCTCTGCGAGAAAAGCCAGGGTCCTCACCTTCCAGCCAAGGGCGTGCAGCCCCACCACAGCCCCGTAGTGAGAGCAGAGAGGCCTCACAGGATCTGCCAAGACCTTCTGCAGGGAGAGCAGGATCTGCTGATAGAGGCCACTTACAAGGTCCCCATGAGTCCTGCAGGAGCAACATTCAGTCAGGGGAATGAGGCACAGCACTGCCCAGCTGGACTCAAGTCCCAGCACACAGAGAAAACAGCACCTGTATGGCACACTGGGGTGAGTGAAAGAGGCGTCTGGGCCGAGAGGCCCAGGACCTGAGGGCTGACGGACCAAACCCCTGGCAC